AGCAACTGCCATGTGATTGGTTGATTAGATAATTGCATTAATGAGAAATTGAACAGGTGTTCCTAATAATCCTTTAGGTGAGTGTATAATACCAATTAGACGTATATTACAGTTAATAGTGGCATTCTGACCAGTTTCCAGTTTATAGAAAACTATTAAAAGATCAAATTTTGCTCCTGTACAATTTTGCAGTTCAAATGACTATGAAGCTACTAAAAATTTCAATCTAGGTTCCCACTCACTTACGCCCCTACTGGTAGCTTATAGTCTTACAAATGCACTCAGAAATTTAACTTCCTACCTTTTCAGGCTGAACTTTTTTTCCCAGAGATTATTATTTACGTGAATAATGACAGGTTCAAGGGGCGCATTATAAATATGTTCTGCATATAAGCAGTACCATTATTGCATTAATGGTAACAAAATATAAATATTAAGATTGGTATTATTCGTGAGATTTGAGGAATGAAAATCTCGGCTTTTTTGGAGTATAGAAAACTGTCGTTATAGCTGCGCTGGCAGGCAAACTGCATAAAGAAAGAGAGACAGTGGGTGGCTATCGAGCTGCAAAAGTTTTTAAATAATGAATCTCAACGTCACTCCCCATAAAATCCTCATTACGATCTCGTGACTATCCTCCGGCACCCTGATGCATGAACCCACGGGTCACCGAATAGACCTTTTCATAATCATATGCATTATCTTCATTTATCAAACAATTTACTTTTCGACGCGAATCCACCCATTCTGTATCTCCGAGGTTACTAGCAAACAAGTTTTACCCATAAATCATCCGTTGCCAAGGGAAACCGGTTTCTTACCACTCCCACCTCTCTGAACCAATTCGTTGACTGGTTATTTCCTTATACGGCACGCAGGGACACTATCGTAGTTGTTTCATTAGGACGGTATTGCATTGTACTATATTTGTGCGTGGAGTCATTTCTTCCATTTCGTGATTTCATTCATCACTGCAATTTTTTAATGATTCAGAGTTCGGTTTCTTGAGCAATGCAAGCCATTTCGCTCCTTGGGTTTCCTTACGGGCTCCGGAGAGCTGCGCAGTACGCATGCGCATCGTTGATCTGGTACCCTGCTAGTGAAAGAATGTTACCGGCGTTACTCTGACATGGCTTATAAATACGTACGTAAACTGAGAATAAGGCATCTGCACAATCCCGAAGGTGTAACAGTTTATATTCAGCGTTTTATGAGTGCTAAACACAATAATGGGTACTTTTTTCCACGTTAAGAGCGTAAGCGTGCGTTATGTGAATAGCAACTTGAATGAAACGTGAATGTGCTTCTACAGATATTGACAGCTAAAAATGCATCGCTGATTTGCAATATCACGACTGCACGGTTCCCTGTCACGTTTTCTTTCACACGAAGTTTATATGAAGCCTCATAAAAAAATAAATGCATACATTAACAAGTTCTTGTCTTATATGCTGTTGGCGTGGATGGAGTATTTGGTTACCCTCCAATTTATCACTGAAGTGTGGCGACCAACAGGTGTTCTTCTCGTATGATAGTGGGAGGCGCTCTAACTCTGGGGGGAGGGTAACTAACCAATAACTTCATCACGCAGCAGTAGAACAACTACAGATATATCGTAACCTAACAATAGGTTTATGATGAAAATATCGCAGAAATAATTTTGATTATTGAAAAATAATATTCGTTTCTTCGTTTTATAAATTTATTGTGTGTGTGTGTGTAATGTTATATAACATTCAGTGATACGGCGTTTTTTAAATGTTCTATGGGTTCGAGTCCTCTAGACCACATTAAGGGAATTTTAAACCAAAAGGAGTTCTTTCGCCTACGTAATATATGTAATGATGGATAAAAGACACTGCGAAAGTCCTTTGGAAAAGAGGCTTGGTGATGGAAGCCGCAGTTATAATTAATGGCATCTCTGTCAAATAGTTATACACTAAACTATTATAATGCCATTTAGCAAATTCCGATATCACTAAGCGAAAGTAAACACCTGTTGAAACATGGCTAAAACTAGGGCTTATAATCCTTGGATAATAATTTCCACCTACTTTCCTGTAACACTGTTCTTACACTTATAACCTGTTTACTTAATGTTCTACAACCGAGGTTTATGTATAACTCCATATATGATGCGTGGTCGTCTGTGACTAAACTGNCCGTGGAGCCATGTTCTGCCTGTGAGCTGCCTGATCGAACCCTGCCGCCCGCGTGGGCCCCTTTTCTGCAGGTTCCTGTTTTGCAGGTGAGGAAGTGAGTGGGTTGGGGGCCGTACTGGCAGATGCACGACGTTCTGCAGAAGAAACCCATCAGATGTCCTTAAACGCGAAAACCACCTGGCTCTGCCCTCCCCCAAGCGTTGTCAAGGAGCCCTGACGGTCTCCGCAAAGTCGCCCAGTCCCTGGCTCCCCTGCTAGCTAGGGGTGGAGGCTCTGCAAATGAGCTGAGGAATACCACCAAGCACAGACTGGCCTTCAGGAAGTTTGGGAATTTTCCTGATGCGTCAGTCTTGTGAGGTCTGGGTTTTTTTCCCCAATGCTGGCCTTATTTAGCCTATATGAGTTCGATTGACAAAATATACTGAGGGCGACTCCCCCTCAGGCCAGGACAAAATATTGCAAGTGGACCCCCCGGTTGATGGCAAAATATACCACCACCACACCCCCCTCAAATCGGCGGCTGCTTGATAGCAGATTCCCAGGCTGCTTTTTTTGCCAGTCCACCCCTGAACACCACCTAGCTACCCTCTTGTTGGGGTAGTCAGAACTGGACACCAGGGACTGTGGCTTACAGAGCAGAACCCCAACCTACAAGTGCCCCTTTGCCCATTTACTACAGAACCAACCCAATTTACAGCTGGCTTTCACAGCCAACTGGTTGCCCTTTCATACAATTTTCTTGGGTGTTCATTTCTTTTTTATATAACACTTACAACATTTGATAAGTGTCAAGAGTGTCAATCTATTATTATATCATTAATGCAAAAATCCATTATTATATCATTAATGCAAAAATCCATTATTACATCATTTATTTAGGGTGTTTAGGGTGCTTTATTTGCAGAAAACACCACTTCCGTTTCCCACAGTATCGAGAGACCAGAAAAGCTAACTGAACGGCATGCATGTGCCATGCTTTAAATTCTAAGACAGTTCAGCATTTTCTCAAAACCACAACCCTGTGATTCTTAATGCTCTTCAGGTCTCCTACAGGCATAAACACAACTAACAGCATGTAAACACTACTGTTGCTGTTCGTAAGGACCAGCAGCAGGCCACAGCTAAAAAACAAGGTATAAGCCCAGTGCTTAAACAAAGGGCCGTGTGTCCAACATGTCCACACGGCTAATCCCGGGAGAGCTGTTAGCGACTCGTATAACTTCCTATAAAGGCTCCTCTTGGGCGAGTGCTTAATGACATCAGCATATACCATACTCTCTTTGAGACAGAGTGATAAAAGAGAGCTGTGTTTCACTGTAATGCAAACAGCTGCAAGAAGGTGTATAGAGCCCTTATCTGATATGATGCGTTCCCCTGCTTTGTATTCCATTACGGGTCTCATGAGGTCCTGTTCTTGTTCCTCAAGCTCTGGAAGGCCTTCGTTGACGGGAGAGTCACAGACTGGGAGGAAATCGTGTATTTGAGGGGTGGAAATGGAGCAGGAAGTTCCGCATCGACCCTGGGAAATGTCGCCTGGCTCCAACTTACAGCAGACACGCGCCGTTACTAATCCAGAGTGATTAAAACAGATTGCTGTCAGGAGCAGGGGCCAAGCTACAGGTGATGTCGGCCATGTTGGTTTCTCCAAATCTGTCTTTCTAAGGCCTAAAATAAGGCTGTCTGGTGCCCTGCTTAGCAAAGGTCACCTGTTACTTTATTTTTGTCATCAGCACCTCGTTCATAGGCGATTAGGCTCCTTTCTGGCCCTCTTTTCAGTAAAAAAGTGCAATTTAAAGGGCTCCTCTGCAGGAGGATGTGGCCGTGAGGCTGCAAACGGCGCCCAGGCTGTAAGGGGAAGCATCCCCCATGATTGCGTAACGTCTGCTGATGGAAAAAAGGCCCGAAGTGAGATTTTAAAGAAACGGAAGCGACGTCAGACAGCAGTGGCTCCGGCATGTCGCCGTCTTTGAAGGTCCTGTCCATTCCACTTCCTCTTGGGGTTTTTGATTCACATGCTTTTCCTCACGATGCAGTGAGAACTCTCAGCTTTTTTAGTACTGGAGCACAGCCATTTTGAAATGTTGCTCCAAACCCTTTAGATGGAGGGAGAGGGTCAAGTCTCATGGGGGAGCCGGAGGTGCATTCCGTGTGCCACCTCACGTTGTCCGTGACATATATGTTTAAACCCTATGTGGTGCCAGCTTCACTGGCTTGCTAATTCAGTGCACCCTCAGAAGACAGCGCCCTAGGCGATCGCCTATGTCGCCTAACACGTTGACCTGTACTGGTGCCATCCTTCTGTAGCGCCTGGAGCAAAGTATAGGCAAAAGAAAGCATGCTTGTCTCTCCCCCTGCCTCGTCACGGCTCTCAGAAAGATGGCCGTCCCAGTGCGGCAAGCCCCTGCCATCTGCAGCCCTCTGTCAGAGGCACAACAACAGGATAGGCAGGGCAGTCAATATGGGGGCAGCGGATGGCGTAGTAAAGAGGTCACTAACAGGCAGTCCGGGTCCGGACTCAGAAGTTGTCCTATACGGACCCGGACTGATAGCCAAAACATTATTATTTAAAACCTGACGCTTCTATTTTAACCGACGCAGCTTTTGTGCTCTTTTCGGTAGTGGTTTAGCAGTAGAACCACCATTTCCCACGCCAATGAACGTCAAACACCTTTAACCGCCAAGCTAGACGTAGTTCGTCTCATGCAGCCCTTTGTCTGCACTAATGTGCCATTAGGTTAATAGCAGCAGCGAAGCTAAAACCCACAAGCAAAAAGCCGTAATGTTCCTAACAGAGTGACTGGTCTGTCCTGAAATCATACAACTGAAAAGTTTTTAAATACAGTATGTATTATATAACATGTTGGATAAATAGACGTAGTTTATTGTTGATTTCATGTTCGTTGAACTTTCTGCTTTTTAATATATGTATAAAATAATGTTATCTTATATGAATAAACTCAGGTGAAACAAAAAATGTATGTTTTCATGGCTGCCAAATCTCAAGCATCTGGCATGACACTCACGCTGGAAATCTTACGGCAAATCTATATTATTCCATTATAAAACCTAAAATTAACTACGTCAAAGGTATATTTACATGGTTAAATACAAAAGCAGACTATTTACAAGGTAAGAATTGTTACATGTGTGTGCAGACATCTCGAACTGAAAATCTCACTCCAGTCAGCTGGCCGAAGTTCTATGTCATGTGACAATAAATATTGTCAAAACGTTTTTGAATTGTACTGAATTAATTTGATTTGACAGTCAGGTACTGATTAAATGCAATGTTGATGCAACTAATAGGTTACTTAAATATATATCACACTAAATAGTTAGACATTATGATATTCCAGACCTTTGTTTCAAGAAATTTTCTCTAACTGGACCTCTTTAAATTTTAGTTGAATATCTCTGGCGTAGTATATTACGATGACAAAAAACTGTGCATTCTGTTTTTCACAAAACTTGTGTTCATTAACATCTCTTTGTTGATATTATTAATTTAGACTTCATGCTAAAATAATGGTAATAAATTTAGGGAGGGGGATTGGAGGACCCCTTGGGATTTCTTGCCTAGGGCCCACCAGTCCCAAGAGTCACTTATGCCCTCCATATGTTGCTCTAGTGCTCAGGTGGCTTATGATGTACCTGTCACTATGCCTCATAGACTGTATATGGGGTTAATCTCCTCCTGAATGTGACCTTGACTAACGACCACATGGTTCTGCCTGTTAGCTCGGCGGTCATATTAAAATTCCTTGTGTTACCTTAACAGGCTGTGTGGGGCGTGCGAGAGCTGTTCTGAAGCTCAGCACGCGTCCTGCACCCCCAACCTGCATCTGATGTAATTCCCTGAGAATATACAACACCAAAT